TTCTCCTAATGTTCTATCGATTGAAAATATTGGCGTCATCGTGGAACTTCCGGTTCTACCGGAAGTAGACGTCAACTCGCTTATTTCAAATGGAATGTACTATTTTTTATTTAATTTTTGGATTCTACATCGAATTTTAAGGTAAGTTTCATAACCTTACTTTATCCTTAAACTCAATAGTTTTTGAAATATTTTGACTTTTTCAAAATTTTTGAAAAAAACATACCTACACTTAATCGGTTCTATCTCCTCCAATTTTTAAGATAGGAAGCTGAAATTTTAGATGGTCAATACCAAAACGTGTCCAAATATCTGGAATATTCGAAAGTTGGTGCATGTTACACAGGGCGTCTAAAAAACACGGACCAATTGTGTCAAATTGAAAGTTTAATAACTCGCTTATTTTAAATAGAACACCCTGTGTTTTATAATGCCAGTAGATGCACCTGTTAATTCTCTTTCCATTGGTATAAGCATTCCCTATACCTAAATCCCACCGATTTTGAGATATTTGAACATAAGTACAGAGACGAATATAATCCGACAGTTAGCTGTAGGTTGGCTGTGGAAAAACATTTAAATGTCACCAAGTGTCATTACTTATTTAGCAGATTTGCTGTCATTGCTGTAAAGCGAGTTTGTCGATTTTCCAAGTGTTTTCAATAACAATGGCACACTCTGGGTACACAGACGACGACTTTTTAAATTTAATTATCATTTACGGGGAGTGTAATAGAATTGTTAGTAGAACATGTCGCGTGTTTGCAGAAAGATATCCAAATAAGCACAGACCAAGTCATGATATGGTCAGAAGACTATTAAAGAATTGTTCTGAGAATGGAAAGTTTCTCCCGAAACATGATAAAAGTAAGACATCAGTGGACAACGAAGAAAATGAAGTAAATGTATTGGCATTTTTCACCGCTTATCCACAGGCGTCAATTAGAGATGCATAATAAATTCACGTCTATCAATAGGAACTATTCACAGAATTCTGAAGAAGCATAAATGGAAGCCATTTTCATTTATGTTAATACACCATTTGCAACCTGACGATTTACCCCGACGTGTAGTCGTCGTGTGTGTACCCAGAGTGTGCCATTGTTATTGAAAACACTTGGAAAATCGACAAACTCGCTTTACAGCAATGACAGCAAATCTGCTAAATAAGTAATGACACTTGGTGACATTTAAATGTTTTTCCACAGCCAACCTACAGCTAACTGTCGGATTATATTCGTCTCTGTACTTATGTTCAAATATCTCAAAATCGGTGGGATTTAGGTATAGGGAATGCTTATACCAATGGAAAGAGAATTAACAGGTGCATCTACTGGCATTATAAAACACAGGGTGTTCTATTTAAAATAAGCGAGTTATTAAACTTTCAATTTGACACAATTGGTCCGTGTTTTTTAGACGCCCTGTGTAACATGCACCAACTTTCGAATATTCCAGATATTTGGACACGTTTTGGTATTGACCATCTAAAATTTCAGCTTCCTATCTTAAAAATTGGAGGAGATAGAACCGATTAAGTGTAGGTATGTTTTTTTCAAAAATTTTGAAAAAGTCAAAATATTTCAAAAACGATTGAGTTTAAGGATAAAGTAAGGTTATGAAACTTACCTTAAAATTCGATGTAGAATCCAAAAATTAAATAAAAAATAGTACATTCCATTTGAAATAAGCGAGTTGACGTCTACTTCCGGTAGAACCGGAAGTTCCACGGCGACGCCAATATTTTCAATCGATAGAACATTAGGAGAAACCCCCGTACATAAATTTTCAGAATTCCAGTACGCGTAGTTTTCCAGAAACGTCTAATTGAAGGTCTATCTGGAACACCCTGTATAGTAATATTAATTCATAGCAGAATTTAATTTTATTTTTTTTACTCTTTGTTAAATTTTAAAAAACTTTATGGTTTGGTATGGTTTGGTACGGTATGGTATGGTGTGATATGGTTTTTATCAACTAATATTTTTTTTTATTATTGAATTTGTTGAACAAAAGAATAGAAATAAATCATGACACTTAAATTTTAAAAAATTAAAAAATTATAAGTATTTGATACTCACAGTGCGGTAGTAAACTTTGCCTTGAGAAATTGTGAGTGTCTCATGATTTATTTCTATTCTTTTGAAAAAATTATGTTAGTTGATATTTATATTTTGAGGTCGCCCGAAAACATTTTAGGTACACTACTTTTAAAATTAAAATAATTATAAGTGACCTTTAGAAATTAAAATATCGATTTGAAATTTTCAGAATCGAAATTTTTTTCAACCCAGAAACTGATAAAATAATGAGAAAAAAATTAATATATATATATATATTCAATTTTTGACGATTTTGGAAATTTTTTAATAACTTGAGACCTCCTAAAAAATTTTTTTGAGCTGATTTTTTGAGGGGGCTCTTAAAACATGATAAACCAACATATTTTCACAAAAGACACGAAAAAAAAATATTTGTTTTTTTTTTGGGCCACCCTACCCTACATGCACCTGCCCTGAGTCGGTTCTTATGTGGGACACCCTGTATGTAGGTTTACTTTGTAGGTAATTGATTTTCTACGTTTGACCTTAAACTGACCTTAACTCAGAACTAATCGGGTCAAACAGACACCGAATTCAGATTCAGCAACCCCAAAAACATATACAGGGTGGTCCGTAAGTAATGGTCCATAGAGACATACTAGATTTTTTACTTCAAAATATTACGATTGGAGCCAACATGCCTTAATAAAATGTTGATAACAAAAAAGATACAGGGTGTCAAAGTTGGAAATTAAAAATTGAATTTTCGTAATAATTATAATATTTTTGAGTGTATGAACGTGAAAATTTAGGGGTAGATGTTTTTGTATACGAGAAATCATAATTTGTTATCTATTTCGATGTATCTTCTAGAGGGCGCCACATACGCCGTGTTTATGACGTAAATACGAGCATAATTTTTTTATCCACAACGTTAACGCTTCTTTTTTTTAAAAATCTTAAACCTACATTATTTTCGTGAAAAAATGGTATACTTGTCATTAGCTCTAGAAATTGTCCGTTTTCAAGAAAAACGCATTTCAACAATCTGCTGCATGTTTCATTACAGGAAATTTTATCGTAGTGTGCGACAATGCCAAGACAGTTTTGACAATTAGAAAAAATCATTGTGACGGTTAGCAATTAATTCAAATTGTATTTATTAATTTTTGGTAAAAATCAATTAAGTATTTAAAAGAAAATAACGAATTATGCCGAGACATAATAATTTCTCGAATTTGGAAATGAGAGATATGACGGTTGTTTATTGTCAACAAAATTTCAATGGACGTGCTGCGCAACGTGAATATTGCCGAAGATTTCCAAACAGATTGCAACCTGGTAAACGACTGTTTCAAAATCTATTCAGAAACTTAGGCGAAAGTGGTTCATTTCGTCCTAAACGTGATAATTTAGGTCGACCAAAAATGATTACGCCTGACCAGGAAGACGAAATACTAATTCGCATTGCAGATGATCCACAAACTAGTTCAAGACGATTAGCTGCAGCCACGGGAATTAATAAAACATCAATTTTAAAGACATTACATGAAGAAAAATATCATCCATATCATTTTACACCAGTTCAAAATTTATTACCTGTCGATCTTCCTTCAAGATATCAATTTGCAAGTGATATTCGGAACAAGCAGAATACTGACTATACATTTGTCAACAGAATATTGTTTACAGATGAAGCGACATTTACTCGCCGAGGTATTTTCAATTTAAGAAATAAGCATTGTTGGGAAGTTCAAAATCCTCATGTAACTCGAGAACGGCACTTTCAACATGAATTTAAGATTAATGTTTGGTGTGGGATCATTGGAAACCATTTTCTAGGTCCATATGAGTTGCCAGGAAATTTAAATGGTACAAGTTATTTAAATTTTTTAGAAAATAGCTTTGTTGATCTATTGGATGCGTTACCACTGAATTTGAGGCAAAATATGTGGTTCATGCAAGATGGCGCTCCGCCACATTTTACTCATCAAGTAAGAACATATCTAAACCAACACTTTCCTGAACGTTGGATTGGCCGTGGTAGTATATTTCCTTGGCCGCCACGTAGTCCAGACTTCAACCCTTTAGATTTTGGTGTATGGGGCACAATGAAGGAAATTGTTTATAAAAACACTATAAATATTCGCGTCCAACTTTGGCAAGAAATTAGTAATTCCTCAACTTTTTTTGATCCAATGGTATTATTTAATATTAGACGATCTTTCATAAATCGTATGGACAAGTGCATCGAGGTGAATGGTGGACATATTGAAAATTTACTTTGAAACATTTCCTATTTTTCCTTAGGTTCATATTCAGTTTTTTACTTGTTAAACGCTTGATAAAATCATAGTTTTGTTTAATTAAATTTGTATTTTAATGTGTACAAAGGAATAATGTTTAATTGTCAAAATTAATGTTTTCATTAGCGCACGATAAAATTTCCTGTAATGAAACATGCAGCAGATTGTTGAAATGCGTTTTTCTTGAAAACGGACAATTTCTAGAGCTAATGACAAGTAGGTATACCATTTATACCAAAGTATACCAAGTATACCAAAGAAGCGTTAAAATTGTGGATACAAAAATTATGCTCGTATTTACGTCATAAACACGGCGTATGTGGCGCCCTCTAGAAGATACATCGAAATAGATAACAAATTATGATTTCTCGTATACAAAAACATCTACCCCTAAATTTTCACGTTCACTCAAAAATATTATAATTATTACGAAAATTCAATTTTTAATTTCCAACTTTGACACCCTGAATCTTTTTTGTTATCAACATTTTATTAAGGCATATTGGCTCCAATCGTAATATTTTGAAGTAAAGAATCTAGTATGTCTCTATGGACCATTACTTACGGACCACCCTGTAGATATCAAGGTCTTGTCTTTCAGACCACCGACTTTTTTTATGGGGCTTTGTAATTTTACTTGCAATTCTCTTACCATATTCACACTTTCGAATAGCTTTAGTGGCACCTATCAACCCATCTAAGAGTCTACCTGGATCTGATGTGGAGCTTAATCCGCAAAGGTCTAAAAACCCCAATTTTTTGTTTAATGTTACCGAACAAAGACACTCCAAGCACCATTTGTATATTTCATTTTTAAAATAATTCGGCACCTCCTCTTGCTTATTACGAATTGTCAGAATCCTCTCTGTAAATTCTTCAGAGATTGCAACAATTTTGTCAAACTGCTGACTCACAACTTTCTGCAGTGGTTGTTCAACAGATTTTCGAAGTTTCTCCCAATCAGGTCCATACCTTAATAGAAAGTCATTAATATACGTAATGTAAGAACATTTTTTTACATATTTTATAATTTTTGAACTGCATTATTTGTACTTTTTATAAAAGGTTAATTTTTCAACGTTAAATTTATGATATCTGGAAGTTTAAGATTAGTCTCTGCCTTAAGTCATTACATTCGTTCAATTTGAAATATTGGCAATTTTTGTACCATTTCCAACATTATACCATGGAATTAAGTAGAAAATAATTTTTCTTATGACATGTTATTGTGAGAATTATCGGAATATGTACAAAAACATAAGAAAACCCATGACCAGAGCCAATCCCCCCTCTTCCACATAATCTAAAAAAAATCTAAAAAATATTTATTTTTATAATTTTTTTGAGACCTTGTGTTCGTGCATATATCCACTTTTCTTATAGTAATATACAAGGTTGGAAGTTTGGAACATCTAATCTCTCGGGAGTGTATAGGGGAGGTCAAAATAAAACTAGTCCTTCCTATAATTTTTTTTCCTAATGTGCTCCCTAACGGAGTTATGGAGGGTCAAAGGGGTACCTAGAAATTAACGTTTAGGGTTATAACTTTGAAACCACCCTGTATATTTTAATAAAATTTTCGTACGTTGTATTACACATGGAGCTCTACGATTTGATGCTAAAATCAACTTTTTGCTATTATCAGGTGTCCAGAAACGGACTGGCCCTATCACAATTTTTCTCAAAATTTTGACAGAAGTAATTTTATCAAACTGAAAATATTATTATTAGATACTCTGAAGGTTTTTCTTTAAAAATGGTACTCTTTATTTATTTCGAAAAAATGAACGGTTTGCGAGATAAATCGGTTTTGAAAAAAATTGGTAACAAAAACAACAATTAAAATTTATTTTTTTTACATATTATTTCATGCATTTAATTTCTTTAACTTTATCAAGTCCAGAAATCTTTGAACGGGTTGGCTATACTTTATGAGCAAGTAGTGACCAATTAAAAATAACATTTGAAAAATAACTTACTTACAAGACATGCAACAAAGAACATTCAACAATGAACAAAGGTACCTAAATGTTACTTCGGTAGATGTTCAAAATGAGCACCCCGTACTTCAATGCACTTTCTAATCCTACGAATGTTTTCCCGGTGCACTTGAAATAATATTCCGTGATTATTGCGGAGATGGTCACAGTTCTGTGTTAGCCTCAGCAGAAGTTCCTCTCTACTATTTACGGGTGTTGAATAAACGTTATTTTTTAAATGACCCCACAGAAAAAAGTCTAATGGGTTTAGGTCGGGCGACCTAGGTGGCCATAATACAGGTCCGCCTCGACCTATCCATCGATCACCAAAAACATTCGTCAGATGTTGACGTACTAAACGATCAAAGTGGGGTGGTGCACCGTCATGCATGTACCACATTTCAGTTCTTATTTGAAGGGGCACTTCTTCTAACAAAATATTTAGATTTTCCTCTAAAAATTGCAAATAAAGAGCACCATTAAGTCTTTGCTCCAGAATAAATGGACCAATCAAATGATTCCCGATAATGCCAGCCCACACATTCACCATAAACCTTTGTTGGTAGCGAGTTTGAACTAAAGCGTGAGGGTTTTCTTCATCCCAGACATGTAGATTATGCGAATTAATTATGCCGTCTCTTGTAAAACCTGCTTCATCGGTGAACAAAATAGATGTACCAAAATTATGATTCCGAATATGATGCTGTAAAAACCAATTGGCGTATTGAAGTCTTTTTGGATAATCATCTGGAGACATAGCATGTACTTTTTGGATGTGGTACGGGTAAAGCAATTGTTCTTTCAGAGTTTCATGTACAGCCCATTTTGTAACATTGTTTTGCGCCGCAAGCTTCCTTATGCTATTTGAAGGATTATTAGCAACGTCTTCCAATATTTGTTCCTCTACATGAGGGTCTCGTACTCTCCTCGGGGCTCCTGCTCCACCACGGCGTGGCAAAAAGCTTCCTAAATAAAGGATTCGGAAGAAATTAGTTTCACTAACGTTTTTCACTATTTTTTTTTACCTGTTTCTCTTAAACTACGATCAACTCTTTCAAAAGTTTTTGGACTCGGCAAATGTCGACCCGGAAACCTTTCCTCATAAAGTCTTCTTGCCTCCACGGAGTTGCATAATGCTTCCCCATAAATTAGGTGCATATCAGCATATTCTGCACAGGAATATTCTTCCATTTTTAAATGTTATTTCTAACGGCTTAAAACGAATACCACAATAAAATTGAATTTTTATTCTGTCACGCGCCTTTGACAAGTACTTTAAAATCAACAGGGTCTAACAACGAAAACAATAGAAAAGAACTCCATGGAGACAAGAGCAATAATAATTTGTAGATGTATTTTGGTCATAGATGTTGATTTTACAAGAAACGGCATTATTCATTCCCTTAATTCACCACCAGTAAATGTTTATGGTGAATCTGTAGGCTGGCACTAGCGGGAATGATTTTATTGTAAAAAAATAAATTTTAATTGTTGTTGTATTTGTTACCAATTTTTTTCAAAACCGATTTATCTCGCAAACCGTTCATTTTTTCGAAATAAATAAAGAGTACCATTTTTAAAGAAAAACCTTCAGAGTATCTAATAATAATATTTTCAGTTTGATAAAATTACTTCTGTCAAAATTTTGAGAAAAATTGTGATAGGGCCAGTCCGTTTCTGGACACCTGATAATAGCAAAAAGTTGATTTTAGCATCAAATCGTAGAGCTCCATGTGTAATACAACGTACGAAAATTTTATTAAAATATACAGGGTGGTTTCAAAGTTATAACCCTAAACGTTAATTTCTAGGTACCCCTTTGACCCCCCATAACTCCGTTAGGGGGCACATTAGGAAAAAAAATTATAGGAAGGACTAGTTTTATTTTGACCTCCCCTATACACTCCCGAGAGATTAGGAGGTACTTACCGGACACCCTGTATGCATATCCTATTTTTAATGTCATGCTAGGGTATTTCCATTATTAAAAACAAAAAGTTGCGGTTTTCGCGCTGTTTAAAGATAATTTTTTATGTTTTTAATTTTTGAATTATAAGAAAAAAATGTATACAGTTGAACTATTTTCTAAAATGTACACTTTATAAATTTTTTCGCATAGATCCCTGGTTGGAGACCACATTTATACATTTTCATACCAAACATGACGCACTGTGTCATACCATAAACAGTGTTTATAAGGAGAGCATCTATAGGAAGATCAACAATTAACAGTCAAACTGATATGTAACGGCAAAAGAGAAAAACTGGGCTTAATAAATTTAAACAATTTTTTTGCCTAGTAAGTAAGTTACTTTTAACACGCGTGTCAAAAAATGACATTTTTAACATCAAAAATGACAATTAAAAAGCCCACTTTTAACAGTTTTGTAGAAAAATATATTTTTTAGATAGATAGGATCAGATGTTATTTCGCAAATAAATAAAACTGTTATGAGCTTCATTATGAAAATATAGGTTTAAGTTTTACTAACTGCCACAACTGAAATAGGTTACAAATAATAATAAATATTTAACTCTTGAACTAGTCATCAGAAAGTTGTTATTAGCCAATACATCACTTTCTTGCAACATATCTGATTTTATACATTCGTACTGAAATTTGGCGATTCATGTCTCTTTCATATACAATGTATTTCACTTCAATGAAGACACATCCAAAACTTCCTTCACAAGGGAGATCGAAATATATGTCTTGACTTGTTTAAAGGACATCTTTGTAAACTGATGTCTGATGTCGATTAAACTATGACGTCACCAGAACAAAAAAAAACAAAAATGGTCAATATGAATAAAGTAACACTTCCTTAATAAACTTATAAATATTGATGTTTTTTTAACATTTATAATATTAACAGAACAGTGGGTTTATTTTCAAAAAATGGTGAAGCATTTTTTGATTGATTGTAAAGAATATAAAATATTAAAATCATGATAAAGTTTTTCCTATAAAATATGTTTTAAATCGAAAGTTATTTTGATATTCAAAATTTCATAATTTTCAGTCGCTTAGAAAACCACATATTTATTTCTCATTATTATGTACCAACACATATGGAAATAATCCGTTTATTGTAATTTAAAGCAAAGTAGGCTGTTGTCGACGGTTGTATAATAAAATCCAGTAAATAAAATTATAGGTCTGGATGTTTATAACTTTTTATTAGCACCAACGTAAGTTGACAAACATGAAGCAAAAACTATACTGTGTTGTACATAAGATCTAGCGGCTTTAAATAGGAATAAATTATATGCATCAGCATTTCTGGA